GCACGGGTTTGCCATTCAAGGGCAAACGAAGAACCGTGACCGAAGCTTCATTAAAGCAGAAGAAGGGGGAAATCACCTCTCCGACAAAGCCTTGGTTTGCACAGCGGAGATAACGAGCCCAGGCTCAGTCATCCCAGAGCAGAGGTCTCCCAAGGAAGGCAACAGCAGCAGCAGCTGTCAGTGCCCAGGACTTTCTTAGCCTTGCACCGTTTTATCCCCACAGCTTCTGCACATCTAATTAAGGGCTCAAGTCTAATTATAGCCCTCGCTGCTTGCAAGGGTGTGAGGGGAGGTGTGTGTGGGGGGAACGGGGAAGGAAGCCGTGAAGGGATGCTGTTCAGGGCAGCCTGGGGGTCTAGAGGGATAAAGAAGAGCTTCAGGAGCTGCAGCAGTGAGGAAAGACAGGTCTAAATTAGGTTACTGCATCTCTCCTTGCAGGCAGGTTAGCTGGCAGAGACACCATCCCTCCCTGCTGGGGCAGGTGCAAGTGCCAGACAATTACATCACGGCCTCAGCCCCTGCTTGCAGCAAAAGTTTCCAGCAACTGTGGCTGCAGGGAGAGGGGAAAAAGAGCTTGAACGTGACCGGAGTGGAGCTGAGGGCACCAACACATGAACGGGCTGGCCTGTGGCAAAGTGAGTTGTTTTGGCAGGAGGCACCAGCAAACATATGACGTGATCACCAGGAGCCGTTCAGCCTTGCACCCACAGCAGCGAATTTACCCCTGGATGAATCAAGTCTCACTTTATCAGGTTTCCAAATGCCTGCCTGTCAGCGGCTCTGCCTGCTTGTCCGTGCACGGCCACCTTGGCGCGATCCGCTCCCAGTTTATGCCTCGAGCATTGCCTCTCCCTTGATATGCCCAGCTCTGCCTTGATATACCCACAGCCGGAGACAGCAGAGCCTGTCCCAGCCTGCAGTGAGGCGGCTGCTTTGTTTGCACAAAGGATGTGCCCTGTTCAGCTCACGGAGGTGTTAACCCTAAACCTCCCTGTTCCCTGGGACCTTGAAAACCGCAGGAGAAGGCTGTGCGTCCAGGAGCAAAGGGTGGTTCAGCGAGCCCCAGACGCTGCCCTGAACAGAGAGAGCGGCCCCTTTGGCGCGGTGGAAGTGTCAGCCCTGGAGAGGGCTCAAACCCCGCTGTCACTTTTGGGTGGGCAGGAGGAGATCCCGCGCTTTCCCCCTCCCGACCTTAACCACAGATGCGTCATTCCTCTCCATTTTGTGCAAATACCTTTCCCTCCGATAAGGCTTTCCTTATGCAAGTATAAATGTCTCTTCAGATCAGATTTAATGACAAGGTGTTATTAATCCTGCTGGATAGATGGGGAAGGCAACACAGACGAAGGGGCAGTAACTTTCCACATGTCAAGACACCCAGAGAAAGGCTGGAGGGGCTGGCGTGGAGATGCTTGCTGGCAGAGCTGACCCCAGATGCTCCCAACCAGCCCCAGCACCGTGGCAGGGGCCCGGGGGCTCCTTACCTTCATTCCTCCGGTTGTTGAGCTGGTTGAACTGCTCCGTGAACTCCGTCAGTGACTCCTCGATGGTCTCTGTCCGCGGAACCGAGAGTGAAAACCTCCGCTTGAAATTTTTCATCTTGTTCATTTTACCTTGTGCTGTGAGGGACGGCAGAGCCCTGCGGGGAAGGGGAGAGAGCAGGGTGAGAGGGGTGGACGATGCACAGGATGGGTCCCCAGCCCCACAGCTCCTGCTCTTTGGGGCTGGCAGCACCCCAATCCAAATTTCCCCCACTGGGAATCTGCAGGGGTCCCTGGGGACATCCTCTTCTCCGAGGCACCGCTGCTGTGTCAGAGCAAAAGAGGAGCCACGTGGTCACCAGGGGAATCAGGTTCTTCATGAATTTAAGAGCTGACTGTGCTCAAGAGGTGCAGGGGGCTTTTTCTGAGCGAGTTACCAGAGATGAGCCCAAACCCCCAAAAACCAACCGAGGCTGTGCCTTACAGCATGCTTGGAAAGTCCAGGAAAGCCTGGAACAGGGAAAAGCAGGGCAGAACTAGAAGGAAAGCAAGAAAAAGTAAACAGTGACGGAAAAGATTCAATACCACACTCATCCCTGTACAAGGAGGCACCTCTCCCCCGGCAGTCTGGGCTCTGCTTTGCCCTTGCAAGAAAGACTTCCTGAGCCCGCAGCAAAACGCTGAGCGGAGCCAGTACCGGCCAGGGGGATCCCGGAGAGCCACAGCGAGGGGAGATGCTTTCAGCTCACAGCTTGCTCACAAGCTCTTGAATGACTCACCCTGTACGGGCATTAGAATCGCCTTAGCCAGGGATCTGATTAAAGCAATAAAACCCTTAAACGAAGAAAACCCTCAAGGGGCACATGGCGAAGCGTGCTGGGTCTGAGCAGCCACACAAGCAGGCTGAGGGAGCTCACTCCGGGCATCCTGGAGCCACGTGCCGCTTTGCCTTTCCTACTTCGGCTCTTGCCAGGCCTGTCTGTAGCTCGGCAGCGCAGACGGGACCGGGCTGCAAGTGCTGTCTGTGCACGGTTTGGCCGTTAGCACCAGCCGGGCTGCACTCAGTGTTATTCCTCCTGCCCAGCACAGACCTAGCAAACAGCCAACGCTCCCCGTGCCCTGGACCTGCAAACATCAGTGTCTCACCCCTAACCAGCCACAGCTCTTCCCCTCCCAGTCCCAGGCCCGAGGAGGTTTGGGTCTGTCCCTCTCCCCTTCCCAATCTGACGAGCGTAGGCTGCTCCTCCACCAGCCTTTATCGTCTCAGCCCTCCACCCTGTCTGGCGGGGGATTTCCCCTGGACAGCACTGGACTCCTTTAATGCTACTCTCATCCACCAGCCCAAGGGAGGATCTTAAGGGGAAGATCACCCCTTGGTACCAAACAGGCATCAAAAGCTACACAGAGCCGTTCTTTCCTGCACCGACAGACACGTACCATGACTTCTCCTACACCCCTGGAGCAGGTTGTCCCCCCTCCTCCTGGGTGTCCCCCCTGCAGCTGAGCAGCCAGCCCCCTTCCCTGGCTCCCCCCACTCCTTCCCAGCCCCCTCTGGGGCTTATCAGCACAAACAAACGGTGATCACATTCCAGACTGATGCGATCAGACACAGCATCCGGGGCTAATGCATCGCGTCGCCAGGGCAACGGAAACACTTGGGTTGACATGCCTGCATCTGAAAGCTTAAAAGATTATCTGTCAGCAATATAAACACTCTGTTTGTGTGTCTGCCATGCTCTGCTGTGAGGCATGGCATCCTCTGTGGGTGCAATCCCCTGAAAATCCCTGGGATACACCCGAATGCTGGGGACTCACCCCCCTCAACTATCCCCACTCATCTCCCACCTTTAATGCTGCAAAAACCTAAAGCTGAAGGCTCGCCTGGAATGCTTGTGTACCTGGAATCAGGGCTGGGGTATCTGGCTGGGGGTGGGAAGGGAGGCTGGAGGCTGCTTTGAGTTGCAAAGCAGGCAGGAGGATGCCAGACACATCCAATTCAGGCTTCAGACATTTAAATGTCTTCTCAGCACTACAGAAACATGCTTTGACAACAAAGATGCTGGCACTAGTGAGTGCTGCATTAACAAAGTCTCCATGCTGGTGCTTTCCTCACGGCCGAGAATAAAGTCTCCAAGCAGTGCTGTTCCTTCTGAAGGGACGGCACAGCTTGACACTTGCTTTGGACACCATTTCCCAGCCCATGGCTCTGACCTGGCTCCCTACCTTGCAAGCTAAGCAAGTTTTGACCGAGGCACTGCCGGTGCGTGGAAATGCCGCTAGTGTTGCAGGCACCCAAGGAACTAAACGGACCTGAAGCGTTTTGCTCCGGCTGTGCGAGCTGACACTGCTAAAGTGGCACCAGTAAAAGCTACGGAGGCTCCTGTGCTAGGCACTGGTTTACTCCCAAACAGGAAACAGGAGCTCAGGGGAAATCCATGATGCTCCCAGCAGGTACATCAGAGGCTCAAACAAAAGACAGTCTTTCCACATTAATGTTCAGATAAGCCCCAGTGATTATTCTTTCAAATGAGGGCATAAGCAAGTTCCCACACATCTCTGGTGAAGGTTACACTAATGAACTGCACTCTGGCAGCATCCTGGGCGACCCTTGCACGTGTCCGTAACGCTGGAAGTGCAAGGACACGCTCGCAGCAGCAAGTGCTGCAATTACCTGACTTCAAACCCACCTGAAGATACCGGGCTGCCCTCACTAGAAACTGGGGAAGAGAGAAATAGTTGCACGAGATTGCCCCTCACCAGTCCCCCAAGATGCTTAAATCACAGCTGGGGGAGGAAGGCTCTGTGTTTCACGAGAGAGTTAGCAATGCTGTGCAGCCCTTACGGTGGATGAGAGAAGTGTATCCAAATCCCGGATAACCCACTCGCAGGACCAAGGAGGACAAATCCCAACTCTGAGCACCATCCCCCTTTCCTGCCCTTTTGGAAAGGGCACCCTGCCTGGGACTGGGAGGGACTGGGCTGGAGGGCTGGGGGCTGCTGCAGAGCTGCTCAACAACCCCCCCCCCAAGCCCGCCATGCCCTAAGGCCAGCAGTCACCCTGCCGCGCTGGGGACACGGTCCCACCTTGGGAGTGGCACGGGATGGTCAGAGAGCAAGCCACAGCGCAGGACCAGGCGGCCACAGAAAGATGCTCAGCAATCCCTGCTCTGACAATCCCCCACCCCGCCAATCCGTAACGGCCCTCGACTCCAGGACCAGGAAGATACAGGGAATATACAAGATACTCCATGTGCAGGTGAATGAAGAAGCGGATGAGGGGAAGATCCTTTCCCGTACACTCACCCTTCTCAAAACAGTGCGAATGGTTTAGAAGGCAAACGCCTTAGCACCAACAAAAATTTGTGCTCCACAAATTGCAGTCTGAATCCTTCCCCTCCTTGCCACCCACTGCAATGCCAGCAGCTACAGGCTGCTAAATATAAACCTCCTTGGAGAGGAAGTGGGGTGGGGGTAAAAATAGCACCGACATCGTTAGCTACCTCTCCTGCTATGCACAAGCCTGCCCTGTACTCATCATCTTTACGGCTCTGCGCAATTGTGGCTGTTTTTTCCAGCTAGACCTGGACCTACTCGGCAGCTGGTGATGGGGTTTACATTAATGTATTTGTCAGCTGGAATTTCTGGGACTGCTCTCGTTCTCAGCCTTCCACTCCTCCCGGAGAGGAATCCGTCCTGTCCTGACTGACCATTGGGATCCAGGTGCCCTAAAGCTGGGATTTGTTCCCCTCCCGTAATCACAGCATCCCGCAACCTGCGTGCCAGAAGGCTGCAGCACGTTGCGTGGGGCAGGTGGTGCGGGGTCCCCGGCACGCACCCCTCCCTAAAGGCTGCCCTGGGCAGCACCCCGGGGGGTGAGGGGCTCCGTCCTCCCTCCGGCTGCATGTCCCCTTTTACAGCTAAACGGAGCAGCCCAGCCCTCTCCCCCGGCATAGATTTCAAAGGAAGAATTGCTAGCGACCGCCTCTTGTTTCCACCACATTTAGTGTACTAAAGGAAGCGGAGGCATTTATTGACTTTCTGAGAGAAAGTGACACTTGCTAAGCAAAGCAATGACATCACTTGTTTTACAGCCTGAAGGATCTCGAAGGGAATTACAGCAACCTCTGAACTGTAGTCATCTCTAGGATGGAAGAAGCTGGCTGATTAACAACATGCAGAAACATGACGTTGCACGGTAGGACATGAAAGGCAGAAGCAGTCTAAAATGGCAATAAGGAATTTAGGCATCAACGGACAAAAATGAAATCCCTCAGGTTGGAATTTGGCCAAGGAACAGGGATTAAAGCCAGCAGTGTGAATGATCTGCATTTACTGTAATATAGTCAGATAGTAAATACTTGGCTAAAACACTTCAAAGAGCCCAAAGCTGAATCCCATCAGGAAAGCTCATCACATGATCAAGACAAGATGTTAACGATTCTTTAAACACCGCATTCAAAGCCGTATCCGCTGCACTAGCAATAACCGCGCTCACTATTTGTCAGTGCACTGTTCCCATAGGCATTCGGGCTGCGACTGTCCACATGAATCTCTCTTGCATTTGTACAGCAAAACCCTCTGGCTCTCTGCTGTGGAATTCAAGAGACAGGTATTTTAGGCACAGACAAGCCCTCGTCAGTGTATGAAACTGTCCCCTTTCTCCTTCAGCATGCTGCAGGGACTCGGAAGCAAGGCTTTCAAGCAATAACCACTTCGTTGCTTTTCACAAATGATAAGTGGCTCCATTTTTTTCTTACCATTTTAACAGACTCCTGTCCCCATTTCCCAGCTGAAAGGGTAGAAGGCTTGGAGGGAATAGTATGCTTTTTTTAAGCTTTTTTTTTTATCCCCAGAGAGATTAACAGTTGTGTTTACAGGGCAAAATGAACAGTCCTATTCAGCAGTTACGTTACGGCTCACGCTTCTAGCTATTAGGTAGCATTGATTCATTCCTGCAAGTATCAGAGAAATGGTGAATTCTGCTCGTAGAGCCTTATCTGCTCCGCAAACACGGCTATCATGCAACGCTGCATGTGGCTACAGGGCTAAACAAACAGCGAATGGACGCACCAGTTGAATACGTGCCCCTCCTCACACGGCAAGGCATGGAGACAAAAGTCAGACCCG